CTCACCTCCTAAGAGCTGGCTCAAGAGATGTCAGGAGGAGGGAGCAGGATGAAATTCACCCTCAGCCCGGTGTACAGCCTCTTATTGGGGGAGCATTGGATAATTAGGCCAAATAGAGGGCAGGCTTATGAGTGAGCTTCCTAGGTGCAGCAGGAGGGGTGCAGCTTTGTTCTTCTTCGATAAGACCCAGAGAGTAATGTTAATTGTTACTTTAGGTGTGTGGAGTGGAGACTATTTGTGAAGCAGAAGGGGAGTTCATGGGCTACAACTAAAAAGGGCATACTGAGTGTGGAAAGAGGAAAACCTTCGGGTCCCTTAACCCAAAGCTCAGTTAAGACATCAAATACATTCCCTGAAAATTGGCACTTTCAGCTCTAGCCTCCATGCTTTTGTTGTGCAGTCAAGGTAATGATCACCCGTGCTGTGAGAAAGGCACTCGGGCTGGCAGAAACCACTCACGGCACAAAGCATTCTTTGGTTAAAGAAAAAAATTCATAAAATGAAAAAGAAAGCTGTTTAAGCTTAAAAACTAAAAAAGAAGTGGTTGGCTCCAGTTGTCGACATGTTTTATAAAGCAACAGCAAAATGAAAAAAATAAAAAGTAAACTGTCCCAGAGAACTGAGAGAGGGCCAAAAATATTAATACATGGGAACATGGCGAACCTTCTGCAAGCTGTAAATATTTTCTTAGTTTCCCACGTGTAGTCAGCAAGTACGGCAGTTCTTTTTCTCTCTCTGCGCTTCCTGTTGGAAATCTATGTGGAATAACAATTTTGCCAGAAAAAAATTAGATTGAAGAAATTGTGTCTGCCAGAGGCTCATGAACTGGTTTCATATATCAGAGGGAGGGGGTTTCAACCCCCCAGAGTGAGAGAAAAGGAGGAGGATATATAAAACAAAGAAAAAACAGACCACCAGAGCTCAAAAATAAAAACAGAGTTTGATGTATGTGAATATCTTAACTTGCTGAGCATGGGACATGGACCAGTGAAGAAAATCACTGAGGGCAGGGGCAGCACCAAAGGTTCAAGATGCCCAGCTCGATTTGAATTTCAGGTAAGCGAATGATTTCTTAGTAAAAGTACAGTACACCCCCATGCAACCTGAGTTTAACTGGGCATCGTATTTTTATTTGCTGAACGTGGCCACACCGCCGAGTGGGAAAGGTATTTCAGTGGTAGGAAGAGGAGCTCCCAGTGGTTCTGCTAATGAAGGATTGCTAATGCACATCCTGACTGGACAGAGCAAGCTTGTGGGTCTGTTCATAGTTGGTTGACCCAGGAGATGGGCACCTCAGGATCTCTGAGTCTGTGTGTCAGCTGCAGTGACACATGGCAGGTTCCGACATGACCCCACCAATGCTGCCATAAGAGGAAACCTTGCCTTCTACAGACACCACCTCAGAAAAAACCTGGACCTGCGCTGCTTCCTCAACCCTCGCTTACTGTGTAGATTCACAGCCACGCTTCAGCCTTGAAAGTGATATCAGAAGAAAAAGGTATCTTCCCTAGTTACCAGAGAAAGGAAGACCCAGAAATGTCGGCTCTCCATCTCCCTCAGGAGTTCTACCCCTAGGAAGGACAAAGGGGTGCCCTCTGAGGCCAGGGTTCCTCACTGAGCCGGTTCTCCCTCTGCAAAATGGTCACAAAGCCCTCTGCAAGGGGTTGCTGTGACCATCGGTATGAGGCCGCTCTCACATTGCTAGAGAGAAATACCTAAGACTGGGTAATTTATAAAGAAAAGAGGTTTCATTGGCTCACAGTTCTGCAGGCTGTGCAAGAAGCATAATGCTGGCATCTGCTTGGCTTCTGGGGAGGCCTCGGGAAGCTGCAATCACAGCAGAAGGCCATGGGGAAGCAGGTGCATCGAAGACCAGAGCAGGAGCGAGGGTGTGGGGAAGGGGTCACACACTTATAAACAACCAGATGTCACAAGAACTCACTCATGATTGCAATGACAGTACCCAGGGGATGGTGCTACCCAGGGGATGAGGCAAACCCGTGACCTGAGCCTACATCAGATCCCAAAACCCATTCATAAGAAATTCACCCCATGATCCAATGACCTCCGATCAGGCCCCACCTCCAACACTGGGGATTGGAATTCAACATGAGATTTGCAGGGAGCACAGATCCAGACCATATCACCATCAAATCAGAGCACGCAGGGAAGTGCTCCACGGGAGCTGGAAAATGCTGGTGCCCAGAGGGTGACCAGGACAGCCTCAGCCTCAGAACAGAGCCCAGAGGGGCAGTCCCCAGTGTGTACAGCTCTGGGTCCTCCCTCACCTCTTGAGAAAGTGGGAACCCAGCCTTCCCAGGGGACAGCCTCCATCCACCAGCCATCCACAGCCTCTCCTTCATCCTCAAAAAGCAAACCCCGTTCCACCCAAAGCCACATTTCCATCTCCCCACACCTTCAAGTGTCTTAGGTTGAGGGACCTGCCTGACCCTGACGACAAATATGATAAACCAGGAGTGGAGCCCACCATTGTTTGGGAGCCCCGCTGTCAGTCTCCTGCAGAGCTCTCAGAAGTATAGTCATGATCCGCTTTTCCAGATGAGGAAACGGGGACTCAGAGTTGTTAAACAATGTGCCCAACATCATTGAGATGACACATGGCAAACCCGAGACCTGAGCCTACGTCGGATCCCAAAACCCGGACACTCATCCACTACTCTACCCATTTCTAGTCCTGGACCAAGACTACCCTGTGCAGATATTGCCAAGGATAATGGAGAAGACTGGCAAACTCATATTCATCCTTGAAAACCCCACTCACTCATCGCCTTCTCCATCCTTTTCCGTCTCATCCAGGGCTCTGAATCACATACACCCCACCCTACTGTCATTTTGTATAAAAGGCTGTGTTGTCATGTAGTTGCATTCACATCTGCTTCCCTGCTAGACTGAACTCCCGGGAGACGCAGAGTGCCTGTACCTCCATTTCTGTACCCATTCCATTTGCATGGAACCTTCCAGCTGCACCGGCTGCCTTTGCATTCTTCAAACACCCCGTGTTGATCCTGCCTTGGAAACTATCCCCCACACTACATGCTCCGTGGGAAATTCTTCTGATCTTCCACAGCAGATCTGGGCCCACATGTCTCCTCCTCAGACAAACCTGCCCTGACCACCTGTTTAACACAGTCCCACAGCCCCTCTCCCATCTCTGCCCCCCGGCCTCATGCCCTGGTGTGAATCTTTCCCTAGCGCGTCATGCCTCTCTCCCTGGCACCATGTCACACGTGCACTTGTTTCCTGGATTCATTATCTGTCTTCCCACTCGACGTGTCAGCTCCAGGGAAGCAGGGATCTTGCAGGTCTGACTCCCTTCTGGCATCAAACACATCAAAATCTCTCAACACACATCCATAGGATGAAGGAACCCTCTGTGACTGGCATATATAGATGCTCGGTTAATGAATTTAGTCTTAATTAATCATCTTAACAGAAATGTCTCAAAACCTCCTGAGGGTGGAAGCAGAATTTGTTCTTACTACGTAATGGATTTTTCTTCCTAGCCATCCACTTATATCCCCCCAGAACATCTTCCCCTCTGTTGTAGGAATGGTGACCTTGGAGAATAGTCCAGGAAGAAACCCGCAGCTTCCTGCCTGGAGATCTGTCCTCCCTCTTCTAGGCCTCTGGCTTGCAGTTGGCTCAGCCATGGGCCTGGGGTGTTATATATTCATTAATTAATCAAATCAGCTCCAATGCCAGCCTCTGCTTGCCCCCTCACTAATCCAGCTGAGGGACAGTTGGGACCACCCCAATACCGGGCGGGGGCCAGGCATTTCCAACAGCCAAGAAAAGCACCATGTGCTATGAAAGGAAAACACACCAGCTGAGCTCCCCTCAAAACACTGCACAAAAGAACAAGTCTGTTAAGGGAGGAGGCCATGGAGACGGACCAGGGAGAGTCTCAGATACCCAACTGCTGGATCCACACACACTGGCATCGCATCCTCCCAGAGCAGTGCCCTGGTAGTAATCTGGGAAGTTCAGCTAAGTCATGCTCCCTACTTTCTCAGTCCCCCCAGGCAGGCTCTGGACACCTTATCTCATGGCTACTCAACAAGAAAAATGACCCCCTACCTCGTGTAGATGATCCCCTTGCTGTTGTCTCAGACCCATTTTCCAGCTCTAGATCCACAACAGTGGTGATATGGTGGAAACTTAGGAGGTCAATAAGTCAATCAACAAACACTGAGTGAGCACCCCAGCCATAGACAGGGAAAGGTGATAGATAGGGAAAAAGAGAGTGTGGAGTGGTGGGGTCCGGAGGTAACATTCTCCGTGGATTTCATTTAGGGATTGTTATAAAGAGTGTACGCCAATCAAAACGCATATTTTCTCCAAAGACATGTGCGGTAATATTCATAGCAGCACTCTAGTGGTGGACAAAAACACAGTGCTCATCAGCAGCAGAATGGAATTCTGTTTAGGAGCAGAAATGAGCACTAGGGCCACTCACAGCAATGGGGATGGTCTCTCAACCACGACATTGGGCAAAGCCAGCCAGGCACAAAGGGGAACATCTGGATGGTTACACACACACAAAGTTCAAATCACGGCAAAGCTAATCTTTGCAGAGGGAAGTCAATGAGATCCAGGGAGGAGCGGTGACCCTGGGGGCTGCCGGGGGAGGCTGGCAGTGCCTTGTTTTCTAACCTCTAGGTGGTGGTTACAGGCGAACCTTCCCTTTGACATACTTCATTAAGTCTGTACACTGGAGTTTGTCCACTTGTAGGTGTGCATACTTCCACTACGGATTTAAATTTTAAAAGGGGGTTGGGGTGTTAGGTCTGGAGGTTTCCCGAGGTTTTCTGCAGAGGAGCGAATGGGCTGAGAGGTGGACGAAGGGCCCAGACGTGAGCAAAGGATGGCAGAAAGCCCCATTCACCGAAGGGACACCGCCGAGAAAGCACAGCGACCACACCCTCACCAGGTGCGGCACCATCTCCGCCTCAGAGTCCTGCGTTGCCTGGCAACCGGTCTCCCGGGAGACGCGAGACGCTGAGCCCAGGGTCTGTTGCGTGGCGCACCGAGCCCCCAGGCCCCATGGCGCAGAAACCGCTCAGCACCGCGGCGGCTGAACGCATGAACCTTGTGGCTCAGGATGAGATCTGGTAACGCCTGGGATCCCATACCGCGGTGGGCTTCCATTCCCACCTGAAGTGTGCACACCTGGTGGTCTCAGTTTCCCCACCAAATCCAGGAGGTGGTCGACCACTAAGCTCGAGGGGCGAGGGGCGTGCGCTGAGGATGGTCAGGGGCCTTGAGGAAAGGGGCAACGTTAGGGACCTAAGCGCCACAGGAGAGCCTTTCTCCCTCTCCCTCCCCATCTCCTGTTAGGCCCACCAGCGGAGGGCGTGAGAGATTGGCTTCCAACAATCAGTGCAGATTTGCTTGTGGAAATCCAACTAACATGTTCGTGTTTTTTGTTTTCTTTTTTTTTTTTTCTTCAAACCTCAGCATCCATGCAGAACATCTTCATGTTTTTAAGGCTGATGGAATTTTTTTAAATCCTAATATTTGTTCAATTTGAATGAAATACATGAAAATCTCTTGATTTTCCTGGGTTTTGAATATATATTTTAACTTTAGAGCTAGATCCATTTTCTAAAAGATGTATGTCCAGCAGATATTTATCACGGATATTTTTAATTGACATGTTATCTGCTATGTATTATTGCATCTCTTTGAAGGTTTAACTCATACGGGAAGTTGCTGATTTAGATGCAAGTGGGTAAGATGTAGTAACAACAAAACATCCTTGTTTATCTTCTAAACTCCAGTTATCCTATTTACCCTCTCTATAATTTTTACCATTTCCTTGTAAAACCTATATTAGTCACTTCATATTTGTCTTTAAATTGGTGTCGCTTGATAAATTGATTTTATGGAAAACTTTATATCACTCTCATCACTCTCATAAATAGAAAACCTTTATCATTTGGCATAAAAAACACACTATTTTTTCAAAATCTTTATCCAAGCATCTCAACAGGAGATGCTACCACAGCAGTATCTCTACCCTCTGTCTGAAATGTCCCTTCCTCTCTTCATCACCAGACAAACTTCTGCTCATCCTTCAAGCCAAATCTAAACGGCCCCTCCTCTTCGAACAGGGCCCATGGCTACTGAACACTTAAATTGCAACTGGTCCAAACTGGGTTGAGCTGTAAGAGTAAACTGTACGACAAATATCAAAGATTCATACCAAAAAAAATGATTATTTAAATGACTGTTGGCCGGATGCAAAGGCTCACACCTGTAATCCCAGCACTTTGGAAGGCCAAGGTGGGCAGATCACCTGAGGTCAGGAGTTCAAGACCAGCCTGGCCAACGTGGTGAAACCCTGTCTCTACAAAATTACAAAAATACAAAATCAGCTGGGTGTGGTGGCACGTGCCTGTAATCCCAGCTACTCAGGAGGTTGAGGCAGGAGAATTGCTTGAACCCAGGAGGCGGAGGTTGCAGTGAGCCGAGATCACACCATTACACTCCATCCTCGGCAAAAAAGAACACACCTCCATCTCAAAAAAAAAAGTGTCACCTATTTATTTTGATGTTCTTTTTAATGTAGCTACTAGAACATTTAAAATTGTGTATGCAGCTCATGTTTGTGGCTTATGTTACGTCTTGATTGAAATAGACTCTGCCTTAGATGCTCACTGCCCAGTTAAAAGAGTTGACCAGGGTCTCCAGAACTGCGGGATGGGGATATGCAGATATTGATTCCAAAATAGAAGAAACTAGAAAAATCCAAATGACTAAATGCTTAATTGGATGTCTGCAAAATGTGACATGCCAGCTCGTCTACTGCAATTCCACTCAGCTTGTGGGTAGTTAGATATAAACAATATTAGCATGGAGCAAAAGCAAGGTCAGATTAGGGTGGGGCAATTGAGGCACCTAGGCTGCAATATTTAGGAAATGCTCAATGTCGAGGTCATACAGATGCTGACTCTGCACTTGCAGGAGGCAGGGAGTGAGCGCCTCCTTTTCTTTATACCTCCTTAAATTTGGGGTCATGGGGCCTCCAAAATAAGAGGTCTGGTACCTAGGAGGCCCCTCAGGCAGAATCGGCCCCCAGACCTGTCCTTACCCGGCACAGCTTCCCAGCCGTAACAGCCAACCAGCCTCTCTCTTTCCTTAGCTGTGTGTCTCCCTTGCTAATGGGAGGTGCTCAGGGGTGGAGGTTCTCACACTCTCTGGCACCTCAGTCCATCCGTGGTGCAGAACCACTACCCAGTCGATGTTCATGGAAAATGGAAATGCTCCCCCACAGACCCCTTGAACCTTTTTCCATGTTGCCCAACACTCAGGAATGTTCTTTTTCAGGAGATACCGTCTGAAGGCTGAATCAGAAGCACGGCAGAACTGGCCCCAGAACTGGGGGTTTTTAACAACCCCTTTTGAAGAGGTAAATATAAATTTTATGAGCCCCGAGGTTATAGAATCAATCATTTCAAGGAATGAATGACTGCGAAGTCTGTAATTTGCAAGAATGAAATTAAAGAGCATGTTGTAAAGATCGCTAACTCTGAAACCAGCAGCTTCCCGCCTTTCACAGATTTCTGAGCACTGACCGCATGCCAGGCATGGTCTACGTGCTTCGGCAGAATCACCTGATCGCATCTGTACAAGAACCTCTGTGCAGAAACAGGTGCTGTTTTATGCCCATTTTACAAATTAGGAAATTGAGCTCCAAGAACTGCAGTCACACAGTTGATAAGGACCACACCCAGGTGAGAAGCTGGTGAGTCTAATGCCATGGCCATTTGACCTCAGACTTCCCATCTGTAAAGTGGGATGAGTCCTCGCCTGCCTAACTGAGTGACTGTGAGGTGCAGGTACAAGAACGCCATGGAGAGGTCACCCAGCCAGAAAGCCAAATGATCTATGAGGGATTCTTGGGAAAATGAATGCTGCCAGTATTCCCTAAAGATCACAAGTCTCAAAGTCTACAGATATCAGATAGGTGACAGAAACAGGAGATAGGGCCAAGCATAATTAATCGGAAGGGATGGGGACTCAGGCAAAGAGGCCACTGGTCCTGTCCAAAGAGGCAGCCAGCATGAGCCCAGCCAAGTGCAACCACATGGGAAGGCCAACTGCATAGTCCCATTACTTAAGAGAGTCCAGAAAGCCAGATGTTTACATGAGATCTTCTGCATCTAGAAATGAAATGCTTATGTGGGCTCCAGTGGGGTGTTTATGTGGCCACCAATCTGCAACCTCTCAAACTTCAGGACAGAACACGAGGAAGGTACATTTATTTGGAGAGATGCAGAATTAATTAAAACACCACATCATTCAAAGCAGCCATGATTCATAGCAGCATAAACCCCGTTGGTAATTCATCCCACCCCACTAGCTTTGAAATTATGCCGCTCTTAATGAGGGTGTTTTTAATTCTTAGAGGGTTCTACAATTTGAAACGTTATGCATAGAATGAGTTGAGTTCTTGTTAATATAATATACATAGTATATATTAATATTCCTTATATGTAATTAAATTGTGTTTTCAAAAAGCTTGACATTGCTTTAAAAATTATAAGGGGAAGCAGAGGCTCTCCTCTAATATTTTACAGGTTGGTCTTGAAAACATTTTGGCATTTTTGTTAGATTGTTTATTGTTGTTATTGTTGTTTGAGACAGGGTCTGGATCTGTCACCCAGGCTGGAGAGCATGACCTCAGCTCACTTCAACATCCACCTCCAAGCTCAAGCCATCCTGTCACCTCGTCCCAAGTAGCTGTGACTTCAGGCACATGCCACCATGCCTGGCTACTTTTTGTATTTTTTTGTAGAGATGGGGTCTTGCTAAGTTGCCCAGGCTGGTCTTGAACTCTTGAGCTCAAGCAATCCTCCCACTTCAGCCTCCCAAAGGGCTGGGATTACAGGCTTGAGCCATCACACTTAACCCTTTTTGGCATTTTTAAATTTGAGTCTATAACTGGCAACATTTTCTCAAATTCCCCCACAGGGGATATCAATCAGGAGGCTTAGGTGAGCAACAGGAGGGGATGGAGATTGGTCTCGGCTTTGGGTGCAGCAGGCCTGTGTTGAGGTTCCCACCCTACTTTTCTAGTCGCATAACTGAGACAAGCCTTTGCCTCCCATTTCTATGCCCTAATTCTGTGCCTGCAAAATGTGCATTCTGGGGAAAGCAATGGAGAGGACACTTCCCCAGCTTCAATCTGAGGCTTCCCGTCTCTGGGGATTCTATTTCAGTTGATCAAGGGTGAAGAAGAACTCCCCACCCCAAAGCCCAAAATTGAGCTTCCTGAGCGTTTCCACATCTGGCCGGTGACCCCAGTGGAGAAGTACATCAAGGTTTGAAACATTGTTTTTAAATACTCATTTTCCTAAGTAAGAAATAAGCCCTAATAGAAACCGATGGCTCCAGGTATGCAAAGCCAGTGCTGAAGGTAAGAGCACAGCAGTGCCAGGTGCAGCGTCAAGGTCCAGCCTTTCCCAAACCCAACTGTGGGAAACACGCCAGGTGAAGTCTACACGTGTGAGCGCCATGACCTCCTGCTCTGCAGAAGCAGAGAGAAGCCAGGAAAATGGGGTCTCCCTGCATTCTTTCAGCAGACATTTCCAGGGTGTGGGCAGGAAGTCAGGGCAGGTCCCAGCAGGGGGTCTGGAATCAGACCACCAGACCCCAGCACTGTTAGGCTGCTCACCTCCTGTGTGGTCTTGGGCAAGTGGCTTGACCTATCTGTGTCTCCCCTGCCTGTCTTACACAATGGGGGTTAATGGAGCACCTACTTCAGGGAGTGCCATCAGGGCTTAGCAGGGTGCCCAGCATGTTCGGAGAGTGCCAATGACAGTCAGCTATCAATAAGGTGCAAGAGCTTGGTTGGGAAAACAGCAATGAACAAGAAAACAAGACCCCAGCCCACATGTCTGGGTCTGGAGAACCAACATTAACCAAGAAAATCAACTCCATTTGGATATGCTGTGCCAGCACCACAGAGGAAACAGGCCAGTGCTGTGTCAGAGGGTAAGAGAACTGAAGGATGACCAGGCACCAGCCCTAGGAAAAGTATTCTAGGCACAGGGAACAGCATGTACGAGAACCCCGAGGTGGAACACAGACTGCTATGTTTCAGGAACAGCAAGGCAAGGTGATGTGGCTGGAGCTTAGAGACCTTGGGTGGCAGATGGGGCAGGAAGGGAAGGTGTGAGCAGAGAAGGGATGTGAGTGGAGAAGTGGGCAGGCTAGAAGAGGGAGTTGCAATTGGAGTCAAATTTATAGCAGAAGCCGCTGGAGGGTCGTAGGCAGGGCTGTGGAAGCATGAGACCTGCCAATTGCAACGATGGCTCCGGCCACTAAGTGGAGAAAAGATGGTGGAGAGAGGGACAGGAGTGACGGGGCAAACCCAGAGGAGAGAGGCCTTAGACAACGTTCTCACCTGAAGCTTCCACCACGGTGGACATGGGACAGATCTCTCTACAAGCTATTGAGCTCCCTATGTCTACGGGCCTGTCTCATGGGTCTGTCACTTTGGTGTGTGGTTCTGCCCTCTGTCCAGCTTTGGAGAAGGTGGTTCTGTGTGCTGACTGAGAGAGTAGATGAAAATCCAAAATGAAGGCCGCAGGGCAGGGGGAGTTCAGCTGCAGGCCCTTTTCCTGCCATGCTCATGGTCTGATGGGGTAGCTGGCATGCAGTGAGCATTTGGTGGGTGTGCATCTGTAAGCCCAAACAAAGGAATGAATGAATGCGCTCCATTGAGTTATGGTGACAGTTTTTCCCCCAATTATAAAGCAATATAGAGTCACCACTAAAAAATATTTAGAAATACAGCAAAATATAAGTAATAAGATAATTAAAACACCCATACAGACTCTCACCCATGATGAACATGGGGTGCTCCTTCCAGAGGTTTCCCACGCATCTCTCGACCTATAAGAGTAAGCACCCATCAGCTTGAGTTATTATTATCGCTTAGACACTCACTGTGCTGACTGCTTTGCATGGGCTGTCTCACCTTATTTCCACTGCAGACCTGGATATTATCACCTGCAAACCCATTTGGCAGATGGGAAAACTAAAGCTTAAAAAAAGTTGAATTCCTTTCCCAGGCCACACAGCAATCACACATGTGTCTGATTCCAGAGTTCTGCCACAAAAGCTCACCTATTCCTCAAATGTATGTCCATGTGTATGTATATATACACACCTGTGCACACACACATGCACACACATACATATATTTTTCAGACATATGTCTACAAATCAAACTGCACAGGCAGCTTTGTAGTCTCATTTTTTCACTTAACAACATAGGCTGGACATCTTTCCATGAGGTTAAGAAAAGCACTCCAAACCACTGTCATATGAATGGCTGCATCTTTCTCCACTGAGTCAATCTGTCTTAATTTATTGACCCATCCCCCATCCCTGGGCATCAAAGTTGTAGCCGGCATGAGATTTGGGAGAATAACACTGCAAGGAGCACCCCTGTAGACACAGCAGTTTGCTCTGGGTCAGTAATTTTCTTGGAATTAGTGCCTAGAAAAGTGATTGTTCAGATTAAATGCACGTTTAGAGAGCTCAACCTCCTGTAGCCTAGAACCCTGGGCTGGCCAGAGAACAGAGGAAGAGAGTCTGACATGTTTCCAGAGCTGTGTTTGAATTCTGCCAACCTCCCCCTCCACCCCAGGGGAGAATACAGTGGCGCGGGACCTGCTTAGGGTTGGTAGTGTCCCTTAGCTACATGCTGTCTCCAGAAATACCTTGCCCGCCCATGAGACTGGACCTTCCCTCTGCCACCAGGGCCACTGGGTCTGCTCTATGCAACCACAACTATTCTTTTTTCAAAGAAAGTGCCCCACCTAGATACCAGAGAGGTGTCCCCTCCTGGAGGACGGGAAACAGAGAGGAACTGTCCAGGCACCAGAACAAACTGAAATATGGTTTTCTCCTGTGAGAGGCTCCTATCTAGGAACAAGGGCCAGCTGTTAAAGTTACACTCACCAGACAGAGCCTGTGGGGTGGGAGGGGTAAGGACAAGGACCTTGATTCAGGTGAGAAAGGTCCCCAGCCTCTGCTTCCCTCCAAACTTCCTTCCTTGCCCAAGAAATGGTGACTGGCTTCCTTCTTCCACCTTCCCATCCTCTTGTTGGTGACCAGGGCCTTTAAAAATATATTTATTTTTCATAGGTAACCTTGATACCTAAAAGGCATGTGATGAGATGCCTCCTTTCCTCTGGAACCCTGGAGCCACTGTCACTGGTTTGTCATGCACTCTTGCATAGACAAGGACATTCATGGGCCTCTGGTCTCATTTTCTTATCACACAGCTTGCACTGTACTTTGAATAGTTTTGTGCATCTCTTTTCTCTTGGAAGTTTATCTCGTCCTTCTAAACCATTGCATGGTTTATCACGGTGTGGATGGGCCACAGTGAATGAGCCTCCGTGGGTGAATGTGTGGCTTATGTCCAATCGCTTCCTATTACAAACAGCTCTGCAAGGCATCCCTTGCACCACCATGAATGTGTACATGTGTAGCTATCAGGATCTTAGAATGAATGACTCAGAATAGATTGTTGGGTCAAAGGGTGTTCGCATCTGTACTTTCAAAAAATAATTGCCAGACCGGGCACGTTGGCTCACGCCTATAATCCCAACACTTCGGGAGGCCAGCCTTGGCTGGTGGATCATCTGAGGTCTGGAGTTCGAGATCAACATGGCCAACCTGGTGAAACCCCATCTCTACTAAAAATACAAAACTTAGCCTGGCACGGTGGCACGTGCCTATAGTCCCAGATACTCAGGAGACTGAGACAGGAGAATCACTTGAACCCAGGAGGCAGAGGTTGCAGTGAGCTGAGACCGAGCCATTGCACTCTAGCCTGGGTGATGGAGCAAGAGTCCGTCTCAAAAAAGAAAAAAAAGGTAACTGCCATATTGCCCTTACTCCTACAATGCCCTTGTTAATGGCACTGTTTTCATCTTTTTGCCCCTCTGCTGGGTGAAATATGATGTCTCATGGTGAATTTCAACTGCATTTCTTTTACAAGTTAGATGAAGACTTGGAAGTTAGTCTGTGTGCTCCCAAAGGCCTGGCTGGACAAACAGCATTGAGGGCTGCTCCCCTTCTGAACAATTCTGCCTGTAGCTGGTTCAAGGAAGCTTTGGCCCCTCTGGCGTTCATTGATGACCCACCCTACATGTAGTCTTGCAGGAGACTAATTTCAGGAGTTCATCAAGAACATGTGTTAAGCAGCTTCGTCCACCACCAGCAGCAGCCAGCCCACTCGGGGCCTTCTCCTCCTGCCACTGCCTCACCGGCAGGTTCCGCTAGTAAGAGTGAACTCATAACCCCAAGCATATTAAACCTCTTCATCTCAGTTCTGCTAGAACAAATATCCCGCACTGTTGCCTTTGTTCACACCCCCTTATAAGAGCAGAACAGATCATTTCAAAAGAAGGGGAAATCCTGCCTAAACATTTACCCTCATTTTCCAAGAATGTCAAATCTGTCCAAGGAACTGACAAATGAAGTTGTGTTTTTTCACTCCAGATAGAAGCCCATTTTCCTTTTGGTTTTTAAAATTAAATTCAGTTGCTTTTCATTCCTGTAATCTCCATGGTTTGCAGTGTGCGTGTATGTACACAGACATACTGTAGAGCCTTCTCATCAAAACAGGGTGAGGTACACCTGCCACAATGCCATCTGACAATAGTGCCATGTATTTTATACAGGGCAGTGAGAACCATAGCACTTGATGTTTCTGCATCTTATCTTTTCTTTTTTTTTTTGCTTTCTGAATGATTTTGCTAGAGGTCATGAATTAAATATGTTAGCCATTCCAAGACAAAGAAACGTGTTTGCTGTTCATCACTTCCAGGAAACATGTGTGCCTCCAAGTCCACCTTATTGGTACGTGCTTGTTTTCAGTACGCATCAGGGAGGCTGGCTCTTCTTTCTGTCTTTTCCACCCCTGCCTCACATGCTGATGCTGGGTGCCTTGTGTCTCTGTGTCCCAAGGTCACTAAACCCCCTGCGCTTCCATTCCAGATCCTTCCATCCCCACCAGTCCCCCAAACCACCCAGGGCTTCATCGGCTGGAGATCCACAGTGCCAGGCCTGAACAAGTGCCTGGAGCTGGACGATGAGATCAGAAGCTGCAAAGGGGCGTTTGCCCGAGAGCTGTGCTGGCCCAAGCAGGGCGTGCACTGAGTCCAGACAGAGCTTCCGCCCTGGGGTGCTGCATGTCAGTCGCCAGGCACCCGGGGCCATGCCAGGGAAAGGAAGATCTCTCCTGAATCCCCGAGGACACAGTCCTCTGCATACTTGCTCATGGGATGTTGCAAAAAACACAAAGTGTGCCTTAGACCTTCTCAACTCATCAGTCTCGCCCTTCCAGAATGTTCACGTCCACTCCCATTCTTGGCTAATGTAATAAATAAGGCTTCTCTCATTTGTTTTTAATACCTTGGGAATTTCTATGCAGGGCTTTAAAAAAAAAGATTCCATTTTTAAAATGTTTGTCTAGGCCTTTTAATGTAGCTTTCAATTGTACTCATCACTATCCTTATTTATAATGAACTTGTTGATCAGGTGTTTCTGTATCCAGGTATCCCTGGGCCTGTATTTCAGGAAGAATCCCTGAGATCTCCTTGCTCGAGATATTCAAGATAAGTTAACATCTTTAAAGGCAGAAATGAGCCCAAGATTTGCTACTAGGCGTAGATTTCAAGGAGAAAATGGGTTTCCCAAGCCCTCTAAGAAACCCATCGCTGGTGACTTGTCCCTACCACCCCCCGCCCAGCACAGAAAGCTCCAGGCTGGCCAATTGGGCCATTTTCCTTCCCCAAAAACATCAACCCTGCAGTTACCATTTTCTCTCTGAAAGCTGCCTAGCTGTCTCTCTTCTCCTAGTCCTACAAATGGGGGCTGGGGGCATGCAGTGTCCAGCTGGCGAGAAGAAAAAGCCAGCATGTCCTCGGTACTCATGAACTGGACCCCAAAATGTAGGAGAGCAGGTTTGCAGCAGCCTGTGGCAGCTGGTTTCTATTTCATTTCTGAGGAGTAAGGGATTGGTGTGCTCTTCAGACTGGCATAGACAGGGCAGGAGGGGTATGTTCAGTTACCCACCCTCCATGGAGGCACAGGCCTTCCTCCCCTTTGTTGGTCAAGACTCACTGTTCCTGGGACCGCGACCCGAGGGGACTTCCATTGGGTGGGACCCATTTACAAGGCCCATCCACCCAAACACATCCTGTTCACCTTCCCGTGCAGTCATGGATGGGTGTGCTGGAGCCAACCCAGGAATCCCTCCACTAAGTCCTCTAAGAATCTAACTCCTCTAAGCCCTAAACACTGGCTGCCAACCCTTTGGCATGTTCCTAAAAGGACTCTATAATTTGAGGGGCACTAAATACCAGAGGACAGAATTCCTATCAAATCTGGGCCCCCAAATTTCAGAAGCCCCAGCAGAAGAGCTGCTCTTATTCAAGGACTCTGATCTCTATAAAAACTACCAGCCTTCCTCTTTCTAAGGGTCTGGCTGCAGACACCAACTACTCTGTGCTGAGAACAGAGCCACATAGCAGAAGCCTTCCCCCAGCCACTTAGATGGTTCTCTGTCTCCCCACACCCCTCCTTCAACCCCAGAGTGGGAAACTCCTAGGTTGGCATGGGCTGCCCAGCCTGGAAGAGCTGAAACCCAAGAGAACAGCCCTTCAAGGGGCCTTTGTCATTACCTCTGAGTATGATGCCCACACACACTGCTGGGCATAGGGGCCACCAAGAAACATCATGACTATTCAGGTTCTGCGAAAAGAGGAACAAGGTATTTGGTTGAACTGTGTCCCCCAGAAAGATATGTTGCTGTCCTAGCTTCCAGTATCCACAGAGATGAACTTAGCTGGAAATAAGGTCATGGCAGATGTGATTAGTTACATGAAGAGGAGTCATATAGCAGAAGGGTGGACTCTTAATTTCATGTGACCCGTGTCCTCATGAGAAGAGGAGAGAGTGACGTGCAGGGAGGACACGCCATGTGGAAACACAGACATGCGGGAGAGGGCACCATGCCATGGCAGAGGCAGAAATGGGAAGGATGCATCTACCTGCCACAGGATGCCAACATTTGCAGGCAAACCATGAGAAACTAGAAAGAGGTGAGGAAGGATTCTACCCCATAGATTTCAGAGGGTGCATGGCCGTGCCGATGACTTGACTTCAGACCTCTGGGCTCCAGAACAGTGAGAGAAAACATGTCTGTTGCTTTATGCTGCCCCATGTGGGGTGCTGGGTACCGCAGCCCCAGGAAATGAATATTGCCTTGAACACAGGCTGCCTCCTCCTCTCCTCCCCTACTCAGAAAACATCCCCCTCTGACCATGTGTCTTTCATTGGTTTTGATCCGGGCTGTGTCTATATGAGACCAGATCACGTGGCCCCTCAGACTCCAGAGATGTTTCCAATCACCCAGAAGTTTTAGCCTGATGTAGACTAAACAACTGAATGCTTGGCCAAGCCTGCCCCTATTAAATCCTAATGTTTTGGCATCCGAGTCATCACTGCAGGCAAAGCATCTGCCCTTGGAGGAATATTTGTCCCTACTCATGATCAGACACCTCCACCACAGTCAGGCAGTGGCCAGAAAGCGCGATTGCTTGGTAATGATCTCCATCTCCATCTCAGCTGCGTTTCTGCCCCATTGCCACAGCAGACAACACCCACCGTGGTGGGGGATGAACCTCCATGGCAGGTTGTCATTTGTTCTAATTCTCGATCACAAAACAAATCTAGGAGTCATCGTCCATGTCATCTGCATGCCCACAACAGGTGGCAGCAAAAATCTGGCATAAAACATGGGCTCCCTTACCCTGTCCTGACCCCTAGCCTGGACAGGAAATCAACATGTCCATTTTCAGTCTTCTGAAGCTTGGGGTTGAATTAACTTTCACCCTGGTTTCCACTGACTGGTGTGTTGGCCAACAGCCCTGACTTTTAGGGAGACTGGTCAGCATATATAGCTGGTGGAGATGATACAGTGGAGCTGAGAAGGCCACGCCACTGTGTGGACAGCTGAACCTGCAGAAAGACCAGAAATCCCAGTGGGGAAGGCCTGTGAGGCTGGCCTCGCACCTCCTGGCCACAGTGCACCAGTGGAGGAAATGGGTGTGGTGTACCCGTATTGGATCCATTTAGCTCCAGTTCCTTGTGAGGACAAAAATTCAAAAGACTCAGATCAAAATCTGAAGACATGTATGTTCCCTGGACAATCAGAAGGTGAATATCTTTCAATAGCTTGGAAATCATTTGATGCTTTTTCTTTGCTACCCTTCAATTTAAATTAAGCTCACTCCAAATTTATGTACATATGTTTAAAACTATTCCTACTCAAGTAGGATTCACCAACTAACCACATACGTGCTTGCATTTAAAGAAATAAAAACAAGCAACATTTCTGCAGGTATCAAACTCCCGTGCCATGGTTGTCCCTACTGACACCTCCCCCCTGGACTCACAGAATGACCTTTAGGCATTAAGCAGTTTGGACTGCACTCGTGAGTTTGTAACAGACACAAATGTCCAGTCAACGGCCCCGGTTGAGAATCTAAGTGGACAACATTCAAGGATTCAATTACCCTGGATGGCTTCAAACTTGACATTTAATCTATGGAAATCAACCTCTTTGTGGGTGTCCAAATGGGCCCATAAATGTCACCACACACTGTAAAATACCACAACATTTCCAAGGTCAAGACAAGGCTGGTGAACCTGCATCCACGATGCCGAAATACATCACAGCAATGAACCACCAGACGGGCCTCGGTCAAAATGAACCATCTCTGAAATGATGCAAAACATAATTAGGCTGGGGACTCAGAATGGATTCTGTCACAAGCACATTTCAGCCCAAGACAAATTAGAAACTCCTGAGTTAGAAGAAAATGACATGATCAACTATAAAATTATTGGAAAACACACTCTTGCTCTTAAATATCGACCCGCACCTGAATATCACTGTCATGACGGACTCGGGTTTTCCGTACCCAAACCTGAGACAAGATTGCTGAGGAATTTATAATTTTGTGTGTTTTAGAAACTGCATGTGCTATATATTATATATAACCCCTCTGGCAAGGTTTGAGGCAGCTCCTTGAAATGAAATCCATTAATATTTTTATAGCTAGACATAGGCATATTCACACTCAATGAAATAAAGCCTCAAAGGAGCCACATATGAGTTTGTTCAGGTTTCATCAAAAAAGTGAGTCGTGGTATCAAACTAATAAGAATATTTCTAGGTTTTAGAGCATTTTAGAACTCAAAACTGATAAGAGATTTGGGACATAAAATGTTGTCATCAATAGAAAATGCTGTAAGGATGGTTCTTTAGATCTGCTTTAGTTATGAATTTGGATCGGACTCTCTTGGTTTTAAGAGGAAGAAACTCAACTTCTAGTATAAGTACAGAAGGAATGTTTTGAGTCATGTAACTAGAAAACTCAAAAGTAGGTCTGCTTTCAGGCACAGCTTGATCAGGGATTCAAACAATATTACCAAGACCCAGGACATTTCTGCTTCAAGTTCCTTCAGGTTGGTCTATCTAACTGCTTTCAACTGCAAGTAACACGGCCCAGCATTGCTAAAATGATACGGCAATTTCTTAGATCACAGAGAGGGGACCCAGAGGTAGACCAAGTACAAGGGCTAGTCTAGGATCTGCATGCTTTTAACCTCCTCTCTCCACCGTGCCACTCACAGCACCAGCCTCATCCGAAAGCTGGCTTTTTTCCTGGCTGTAGGATGGGCAC